GGTCGGTACGGCTGGCGACTCTGGTGGACGATCCCGGTCTACCGTCCGATCCCTCGGTTCGTCCGGCGGAGACTGGTCACACTGGTGGTCCCAGCTAGGATTCGGGTGCGGCGATTGGAGGGTCACTGGAGTCCCTGGGTCAGCGTTGGCATGTCCGCCCTGGCAACTTCTTATCTGGTCCAGATGCCTCCGCCAGACGCGCCCGTCCTCCAACTGGATGCGGTATGACCTCGGACCGGTGATGGCCACGATCTTCCCGGGTACCCACAGTGGGTCGCCTGTGTAGTTCCTGGCAAACACTTGATCCTGTAACACAAAACTCCTGACCCTACTGTTGGAACCAATTGGGGTGTCAGGGCAATAGTGGGGATGCAGCCTATCTAACACTGTCCTTAGGCGTCTGCCCATCAGTAGCTCGGCTGGAGACTTGTTTGTGACAGTACATGGGGTCGAGTGTTGACTTAAAAGAAAACGAGAGAGTCTGGAGTGCCAGTCGTCTTGAGTGAACCTTGCCAGCGCCTCTTTTGCTGATCTAACGGCTCTCTCCGCCATCCCATTGCCAGCGGGATGAAAGGGGGCCGTTAGGATATGCCGGATGCCCAGGTTGGTGACATACCGGCTGAATGCTGTGGATGTAAATTGAGGGCCATTGTCTGAGACTATGGTGTCAGGCAGACCGTGCGTAACAAATAAGCGGGTCAGAGCCTGGGCAATTGCTCGGGTGGTGGTTGTGAGTAGGAGAGCCACATCGATCCATTTGGAGAACGAATCCACGACCACCAAGAAGGTCTTGCCGTGGAATGGCCCTGCCAAGTCAATATGCAACCGTGACCATGGTGCGTTGGCACTTTCCCATTTGGCTGGGGTGGTGAGTGGTGGTGCTGGCCTGGATTCCTGACAGGGACGGCAGGAGCTTACCCATTTCGCGATCTCGTCGTCCATGCCCGGCCACCAGACGTAACTCTGAGCCAACGCTTTCATCCGGACGATGCCAGGGTGTCCCTTGTGTAACGCCTTCAGGACGGGTGTGCGCAGCGGTTTTGGGATGACAACCCTGGTCCCCCATAACAGGCAGTCCTGTAAACTGGAAAGTTCTTGCTGGCGGGTTTTAAACGGTGAGAAATCAGTTGAGAGATTATTGCCCGGCCACCCCCTCCGTACCCAGTCCAGAACCTGGGCGATAAGTGTGTCTTTTTTGGAGTGGAGGGCGATGTCGCCAGCGGTAACTGGGATGTTGAACTCACTGGCATCGAAAATGGCATGGACCGGGGCCGGGTCTTCCACGGGTGCAGGCAATGGGCAGCGGCTGAGGGCGTCGGCGTGGCTAAGGTTTTTTCCTGGGTGGTGAACCAGTTTGTACGAGTAAGCCGCCAGGAATAAGGTCCACCTAGTCATCCTGGGTGACAAGACTTGCGGTGTTTGTTTTTCTCCTGAGAGAAGCCCCAACAGTGGTTTGTGGTCTGTGACAAGTTCAAAGTTGTGACCGAAAAGAAATTCATGGAATTTTTTGACCGCAGCAACGGCGTCTAGGGCCTCTTTGTCAATTTGGCTGTAATTACGTTCGGTTGTTGAAAAGGTTCTGGAGAAGAATGCGATTGGAGCTTCGGAGCCGTTGGGAAGTCTGTGGCTCAAGACAGCCCCAATCCCGAAAGGTGAGGCATCTGCGGCTAAGATTAGGGGAAGGTGCTGGTCAAATTGTATTAGGACAGCGTCCGAGGTGAGCAGCGATTTGACTGCCTTAAAGGCGTATTCCTCTTTGTGTCCCCAATGCCATGGCGTGTTTTTGTCTAGAAGTCTATGCAATGGTTCGGCTACTGATGCTTTTGGGGTAGGAACGATGCATAGAAGTTTAGCAAACCCAGAAAAGCCTGTAATTCTGACTTGGAAGAAGGAGTGGGTGCCTCGTGAATGGCTTTGACTTTAGATTCCACCGGGTGGATGCCGGAGGCGTCTATCTTATACCCAAGAAAGTCCACCTGCTTAGTGGCGATGGCACATTTCTCCCTCTTTAGTTTGAGCCCATGCTGCCTGAACCTATCCAATACCGCTCTGACTCTGAGGAAAAGTTGGGGTCTATCCCTGGCTGAAACCAAAATGTCATCAAAGTACGGAACCACGCCAGGGAGGCCTTGCAGTATCCGTTCCATTAATGACTGGAAAATGCCTGGGGCGACGCTAACGCCAAATTGGAGGCGCTTGCATCGAAATGCCCCTCTGTGGGTGACAATAGTTTGTAATTCGGCCGTTTGGTTGTCCACAGGAAATTGCTGATAAGCCTGTGACATATTCAATTTGGCGAATATGGTTCCTGGCTCAAATGTGTGTAGTAAGTGTTGAATTACTGGGACTGGGTATGCGCTAGTCTGTAGATAGCGGTTAATTGTGGTCTTATAGTCAGAACACATTCTTATACTGCCATCTTTTTTTAGGGGTGTGACAATTGGGGTCTCCCACTTAGCAAAATCCGTGGGCTCGATCACCCCTTGTTTGAGCAACTTGTCCAGTTCTGCGTCCAGTTTAGGGCGTAGAGAAAATAGTACTCTACGCGGTTTTAAACGGACGGGAACTGCTTGTGGGTCCACTGAAAAGGAAATGGGTGTACCCTTATAACAACCCAATTCATTGCTGAACACACCAGCATACTCTGCAAATAGTGAGTCGATATCGGAAGGTGAGACAGCATGAACTCCCGTTAAGCTAAGGCCGAGAAAGGGGAACCAATCCAACCCCAAAAGGCTAGGGAGGGCACCATCTACTACCACTAAAGGCAGATGGCCTTTGAAGGATTTGAATTTAACGAGGAACTTGCCTGTTCCGAGTACTGGAATATTCTTTCCTTGATAGTCCCTCAAGGTGAGACGACTCTTCTGGAGCTGGTTCCTGGACAGGCTGGGTCGTATGTTCTTAAGTGTGCTCCACGAGATGATCGAGAGCGCTGACCCGGTATCGACTTCCATAAGGCAGGGTTTACCTTCTAAATGAATAGAGAGTGTGATTTTGTTAGGTGTCAAAAAAGTGTGGTTAGCTTGGTAGCACGTATAACAATTTTCTACTTGCCTGGGTGGTCCCGGAGGGGAGTAAGCGGACGCTGACTTTTGTGGAGCCACGTGTGTCGCCTGGCAGGCCCTGGCGATGTGGCCTTTCTTGCTGCAATTGTTGCAGGTGGCGCTCCTGAACCTGCAAGTCGTTCGGGCATGGGAACCCCCGCAGGAGAGGCACAACAGGATGTGTTTAGGTGCGTTGCCGTTCCCAGGCCTAGCTCCTACCTGTGGCTGCTTGAATGGTTTGAGACGATGAACTTCTAATTGTTCGGTGGGGTCTTCTTCGCTCACCGCTTCCTCGGAATGAATAGTGACCGGACTGGGTTTGGCTGCGCCCCCTTGTATTTCAGCGGCTGACTGGGTCGCTAGCTCTGTGGCCAAGGCTTCTTCGATTGCTTGGGCGAGGTTGAGATCTTTTCTGGCCAGCAAATGCCTCTGTAACCTTAAGTCTCTGACTCCACAGACGAGTTGATCAAGGAGCATATCATCTAGGTAATTTTTAAATTCGCAGTGGAGAGCTGCGGTTCTCAGGGCGGCCATATACTGATTGATAGATTCCCCATCTGCTTGCTTCCTCATACGAAAGGCAAAACGTCTCGCGATCTGCGATGGCTTCGGGGAATAATGGTTGGAGAGTGTCTCCAACAGCTCGGACCAAGGGACGCTCTTCAATTCTCTGGGGGCAAATAGCGCTGTGGCGGTATCAAATACTGCGGCCCCGCAGTAACTCAGGAAGTACGATTTCTTCCTGTTCTCAGTAGCATCGGCCAGACCGATGGCATCAATGTAGTGATTGAAGCGGTTTCTGTAAGAGTCCCACTTGTCTTCATCTGGCTTAAATGGCGGGAACGCCGGATTTGAATTCATATTGGGTTTTCAGCCTGTTGGTAGACTGACCAATCTCACTGGGAAAACAAGGCCCTGATAGTGAAAAGCAGCTGTAGTTGCAACGCTGCTCCAGCTCAGTGCTTTCAGCTCTTAGAGGTTCTCTCTGGGTTACACGCTCTATGTGGTTTTGGCGGCTATGGCTGTAGCGCCATAACTGACTTCAGTTTGAATTTCATGCCCTTACAAGGGCGTAGGCGGCTGTAGCTGTAGCGTCGTGCTGACAGCTATTTGAATTTCGCGCCCAATGTGCTCTGGCGGCTGTGAGCGCAGCGCCGAAACTTCGCTAACAACAGAATCCGAACAGCAGCGGTTGAATTCTGTGCTCAAAATGCTGGGCGGCTGAGGCTCTCAGTGCCCTACTTTCTCACGTAGCTTTTTTTTTTTTTTTTAAACGGAGCGGCTACACGCTCCACTTTCACTTCCGCAATCAACAACTGACCGAGCTCTCACGGTGCGGCTACGGTTCAGCATTTAGGAGTGTGTTTTTCAGCTCTTTGATATTTGCTGCTGGTTGGCCATATCCCACCTTCGTCGCCAATGTTATAGCTTGGAAAAAGGGGAGGCCACACCAGAGCATTTCAAGAACACGCTTTATTCAGAGAATAAAGGGGGCTGACGCGTCTGCATGCTAAGAGGCAGACCTACCAGCGAACAGCGGCTGGCTCGACCTAGCAGCCGGCTTTTATAGCCGGCTGTCGAAGGGAGCCAGCCAATGGGGGCTGCAAACGCCCCCGCAGAATGAATGGACCTGATAGGGAACTTGTGTCAGTCCCGGAGACATAACACAAACCTTGAGGACACTCAGGTAGAAGAAGGCTGGGACTTTGTAAGTGACATTTCTGTAATCTATCATGATAAATATGCAAAAACACCACCATTTTTTTGCAGAACTGTACAATTTCTGCAAAAATAAATATCCAGCAACTTCTTCTGCTAATGGCCACATAGCCATTTTCAAATTTCTCCCCTCCTTCATGTCTAATACTATGACGTATTTGACTAAAAAGAATCAGGCCAAAAAGCAAATAGTCAATTTCTCAGCTGGACTTATGATGGGACATAAGAAAGGAAATTCACCAGGGATGAATTCTGACTGAAACCTTTCCCACACTCCAGACACTTATATGGTTTATCTCCTGTGTGAATCTTCTGGTGCATTAGCAGGTGAGAATTCTGACGGAAACTTTTCCCACAAATAAGGCACTCATATGGTTTCTCTCCCATGTGAGTCCTCTGGTGTTTCACCAGGTCAGTATTCCGAATGAAACTTTTCTCACAATCTGGACACTAGTATGGTTTCTCGCCTGTGTGAATCTTCTGGTGTAACACCAGATGGGAATTCTGACGGAAACCTTTTGTCAGTGTGTGCTCCTTTCAAAATCCAAGAAAGAAAGTCCCAGACTCCATGGATTAGAGCAAAGTTATCCTTTTACTGGAAAATGAAACGGAAGCTACAAATGGAATTCCAAAACTGAGAATTTGGCGCGCAGATCACACATACAAAGAAATGGAATTGTTCCCACCCCCCGAAATCCAGAAGTCTCTTCCAATTAAAAGTTCTGAATATGATCATGTGGGCATCTTCAGGTGGTGATGAGGCCTCTGTCCATTGACCTTGACATATTTTGATAAGACTTCACAGCTGCACAAAAAGGGATAGAGGCTAGCAAGGAAATGGAAAGTTGAAAAGAAGAAATCATACACCCCCTCCTTTTTCTGCCCACAGTAAAGGAATGCAAAACACCTCCAGCTCTCTACCCCCCCACAATTACCCCTCCCCCCATTGCTAATGACAGCTGAAAGAATTAAGCCTACCAGTAGAGAAGATATGGGAGAAATAAATGAGATAGATAGCAGTTAGGGTACCTGAAGAGATCTTGAGGCTGACACCTGTAGCTATTCCACCATTAAGCAGACATTGTCAAACACGGATACAGG